CTCCTCCTCATACCTTGATAGTCACTCTAGGAAACGATGATAAAGATAACGGAGATGTAAATGAATGTGAGATGGAATAAACATGTGTAATCCTTATAAGGGCAAAATCATAAATGTAAAATTTATTAACACCACAGTCACACCGCCCTGGGGGGATCAATCGCACGACACGCCCCTGGTTATTTGCAATCACACCCCACGCACTCATGAACCTCATAACTCGGAAACTGTATTGCCATTCACAGTGATACTGTGGTTAGGGTTATCACACCGCTGTTGAAAAGCAGTGCCATGCGAAGCCTAAGTTGAGAATAATATGAGAAATGTAAATTTGTGTCCCTTGGCATGTGTTTATTAATCACTCGAATAGTACAAGACTCATACTTGGGTAATAATGCACAAGGCATATAATGATTATTGAGCTTACTCTTACTATCCACACAAAAACATCATACTTCGGTGATTACATATATATGATGATTATTCTCCCGGTGATTAAAAAAGTTTCAAGTTATTAACACCAAAAAGAGAGCTTCTTCTTCTCATGATGATGAGAGAGAGAGAGGGTACTTTTCTATTCATTAGCCCTCTTAGTATAACGATCTAAAACAAACCACGAACTAATGAGAGGGCTTTAGTTCTTTTTTTGTTTGTTAACAAGAATTGAGATCAAGAGCAAACTTATGTACCTGGGACAATAGAGCCGCCAGTTACCCGCTGGCGTATTTTTGGCCGAATATACTTTTTAGCTACAATCTTACATTCTTTCACATCACATTCACAGCCACTAAGCTTCAAGGCCTTTTCTACTGCGCCTTCTCCCTCGATATAAGCCACAACTTTGTTCTGGCTGTAGAAATCAACAAAGACAAGTCTTTAGTAATTGACATTTTAATAACTTGATGAGATAAGATGGGAAAAAAATGGAGGAAGAAATCCACAACAAACCATTCGAGAAGAAAAGCTTCAGTGACCTCTCCACATGAAGAGAAATGTTTATCCAGGGCGGGCTTGACAT